AGGGCGACAGATGAATTAGCACAAGAATAAGTGACAAGTGACTGGACTGGGGCACTGAGGATCTGATATGCAAGATCGTTGAGAAGTAGTCGATCTAGCCAAAACGAACCAGCAATGATTGGCTTCCGCCCCCTAAGTTCGGCTTGGACCAGGGTCAGTGCCCAGGCACGTGCTGACTAGTTTTGCTGACAAGGGTCTACTTTTACAAGCTCGAACCGTTTCAAAAATTGATGACGGATGGCAGAGGGAGTCTAACTTTTTTCGGTGGTAGGACATGAGTTAGGAAATCTGCCTGAGAACTTCGGATCATTCGCGGCTCCAGTGATAGTGATGCCGTAACAATTACCTGTTCAAGCTCAGCTCGTGGTCGAGGTTACTGCACACAGTATCGTTCATGAATGCATGACGCTCTGGTATCATCAGGAAAATAGTTGTACTATACTCCCAGATCCAACTCCGGAACCCTCATATGACACTTGTCCAGAACGGTGGAATTTGTATCTAATGATTGAGCATTGCATTCCCATGCGTTCTCACACCTGGGTCGCTCTTGTCCTTCCACCAACATCTAGTATATCCAATGGCATCCAAAGCTCTGCTGTCCGCCTTCAAAGCCAACAGACCCGCATTTGGAGTTTGGCTCACTGCCGCAGGCACTTTTCACGCCCGTACCGTGGCCCAAGCTTCGCCGCACTTATCGTGGGTTGCCGTCGACTGCGAACACGGTATCATCCCCCTTGTTCCGGGTGCAGCAGAGACAGTCGCTGCCGTCCATAGTGCCGTGCCGAATGGAGGAGGACCTAGTGCTATAGTGCGAATTGCTGCCACAGCCGTCTCTGGGAGCACGAGCTGGCAAATCAAGCATGCCCTCGACGCAGGGGCGAGAGGTGTCATAGTTCCCATGGTCCGTACAACGTTTCTCTCGACAATCTTCACTGAACTCGTTCGCATCGACTCAGGTCTCGACCGCTGAGAAAGCGCGAGAGATCGTGGCTGACAGCCGATTCCCACCTTCAGGCCGGCGAGGCTTCGGCTCCCCATATACGCACGGAATCTGGGGAGTCGGTGTTTCTGAGTACCTTTCCACCGCGAATGACGACATATCTGTCATGGTACAGATTGAAACCCCAGAAGGCGTGAAGAATATGAAGGAAATCGCTGCTGTTGATGGTATAGGTAATAGCCACTTTTCGCCACCAGAAGACTATATTAATTCTTGGGTAACTGTCTAGATGTGCTCTTCATTGGTCCCTACGATCTTTCAATCTCACTGGGATATCCGCCGCCCAATCCCGACCCCCACCCAGATGTCGAAAAAATTATTCAGCAGGTGCTTGCAGCTGCACATGGTGCAGGGAAGAAATGGTACGGAGATTTTTGCGTAATCATGCTGGAGCGAGGCTCATGCTTGGGTCCATGCCTAGTGCTATCTATTGCATCTCGGGGTCCCAGTCAGTCAAAAGGGCAGCAGAAGGTTTTGATATGGTAGGGCTCGACTTCTATGTGAAGATAACGCGAAATTCCGTTTAATGACTTTGTTATAGATTAATGTTACATCGGATGTGGGGGCCATGACGCAAGGAATCGCCGAGAGCCTCAGAGAAGCTGTTCAGTAGTCCGGCCACTCAGGACACAAAAACTTGTATCCCCCCGGTAATGAAAACGATTTAATATATCACATAGACACTTAGTCCAAGGAGATGGGCAACTCTACACTGATGGAGCGAACATATTTACCATACCAGGTATCATGTGGGTTGAGGGTCCAAACAGTTCGCCAACAATACGTCAATGTCTCCGCTTTTCCGTTCGGTGATCGGTAATGGGAACACGTATGTTTAGAAGACGTCATATGCTCAGAGGCTGAAGAGTCAAGGTTGATCGATACCTCAGAAGACATTTGCGGAAAGTCCCGTAAATTGGTCACAAGTACGACAAAAGTTTCGGATTGGAGCTGTTGGAGATTTACGAGGATGAGAATCCACGGACTTGTATTTTTTGGTAGGAAAGTGGTACTTGATCAGATATTGTACAGAGAATCAATCAGTTTACAACTTGACGGGCAGTCGATGTAGAAAATGAAGCAATCCGTAATGTCTCAAGTACTGACGAGATGTTCCTTGACGATGTCCTTAACCTTCGGGTCAACCTCACTGACTATA